TGCATACATACATACATAGATGCATGTATTGGTATGTGTGTATTATGTATTTGTATATACACACACATAGACATAGTTACGTTGGCAAGGCCGTGAGCTGCAAAGAGCTCATGAGGTCTCCTTTTTCTCGTGTCTCTCGACTTTTGACCGCTGGATAAAAGGGGTCCATGTAGTAAGGCTTCCTCATATTTACTGCTTGGCGTCCTTATTTCGTGTCTTTACAGTACAGACGCCCAGAATCCAAGGTGTCTTGGTAGGGTCCGTGCCCACTGTCGTTCCCGGCTTGCGGGCCCCGTCCTCCCTCGGAATTCTGGTTACATATGTATGGCACGTGGCTATTTTTGCCCAGCTGTTTGCTCTCTCGCATGGTAGCACCTGTTCCGTTTTATGTCTCCGAGCATATTGGTTGTTTCTACCCGGAATATTGTTACGGCAGGGTTCTTTTATGCAGAACCTGAAACTCGGGACAAAGTCAAAGGAGTTTCTTGACATATGAGCGGTTTCGAAGCTGTTACTAATATGCTGTATTCGTCAAGCTAAGCTGTATCCTTGTATTGAAGCCAATAAAACTTTGTAGAACCTGCGTAAAAATCAGCAACCTGTGCAGCAACAAGTTTAAAGTTTAAGAACAATGACCCCGCAAGGGCTCGACGTTGAGTAGGCCCAGTCCTCAATCATGGCCACTGGTATTCCTTACGGTTCCTCGTCATATTGTCAGCATAATTTGCCCGCAAACCCCAGTCGAATTATTAATTAACCCCTATAGCAACATAATTGCCAATGCTGTTTTGGGCTCTTGTAGTATAATTAACCCTAAACCCTAAACCCNNATACCCCCAAAACCCCGTTCTAATTATTAAGGCCCTATGGTATGCTCAGGCTGAGTGGTCGCCAAGCCGCCATTGAAGCAGAGCTGGAGACGCCCAGAACCGAATAGGAATTAACCCCAAGGCTCCATGTACCTTTATAGTAGATACTTAGGCCTTAAAGGGGTCCCTATATAGGTACTTTAAGGCCTAAGTATGTACTATATGGGTACGTGGAGCATTAGGGTAAGGTCTGGGGCTTAAGCGGTGTACGCTTTAGGTTTTGTTTGGGTTTGCGGGTTCCAATACTACTTTAGGAGGTTTCTTATGATAATTATAGCATAATGGGCCCCAAACCCAATTCTAATTCTTACGGCCCCAACATTAGGGGTTTAGGATGGTTTAGGTCGTCGGCTTCAGGGGTTTCGGTTTGGGGTGAGTACTGCGGGCGAGCAGCGCAGAATTCGTAGCGCCACGTCCAACCCAAGCCCCATGCCCGCAATCTTGGCATCCTACCAGGTCCCGGACCCGAACCCTGACACCCTAACCCCTAAACCTCTAAAAACTAAACCCAGACCCTGAAACCCGAAATCAGATACCCCACAGCTACCCGCCGACCCGATATAGACCTTCAATCCTAACCGTCCTAACCCCTCCGGGATAATGATTTGGTTCAAGGTCTATGGGTTAGGGTTTAGCCGTCAGGATGAGGGGAGGGTCTTTGCTGTTTTTGTTTGTTGATTTCTGGTTCGCCGTTTAGAGACACCCCTAAATTCATATCGACTCCAGACCCTCGAGCAAGAGAAATGTTCCTGCCGCTTCAGCTGCGTTTGAAGGGACACGGAAGGAGGAAGAATACGAACCATGACTCCTCACAGCAGGCAGCGCAAAAATGCCAGCAATAACCCCAGGGGTCCAAAGAGTCCTCCTGGTTTCTGGGAGCTACAACGGATCCATCGTTCAAAAGCCAGCCTCATGTTCGAAAGACCTGGAACCTAAGCCCCCCTTGCAGCCTATATAAACCTTAGTCATGTCTGGTGCGAGCCATGATGGCGTGGCGAAGCAGGATCTGCAGGATCGAAGGAAGGGTGTGACAGGAGGTGCTTGGGACGAAAAACTCTAAAACCACAATGAAGAAGCCTGGGTCATAATCTAGATTATCCCTTCGGGTTCCTGAGGATAACTGCATAATCTACCCTGAAATGCTTTTCCAGTTATTAAAGCTCTGATTTTTGACCCCCTGAGTGCTCAACTTTACACCCCAGGCTTGGAAGTGTAGTTGCCGTCTCCTCGTCGGGTCTTGCGACTTTATCTTGTCTGGCTTCGACGTTCTTGTTTGTAAAATGGAGGCCAAGAGTCGAAGCAGCCTGCCAAAATGACAAATGTAGGGGCGATAATAATTATGGGGCGCAATTTTCTATAAATATAATAAGAACCCCCCCAAAAAAATAGTATAGGTAGTTTTTTTTGGGCCCCTCTATTGCTTCGAGGCTCAAGATACTCCTAGCCGAATTCTAATTGTGCTACACACCCAAGTGTGTCCTAAATGGCTATCTCGAGGGATCTGTGTTTGAGTGGCTCTTGCGTTAGTGTTGCGTCGCGAGAAGGAGACGAGCATCCTGAACCTGCAAGTCGGTGCTGGTTTAGGGTTTAGGGTTTAGGGTTTAGGGTTTAGGGTTTAGGGTTTAGGGTTAGGGTTTAGGGTTTAGGGTTTAGGGTTTAAGAGCTTCTATAGGGGCCTTTATAGTTTCCTATCATTATTTTGGGGGTTCCTTATTATATTGATGGTATGATGGGCCGCAAAACCCCATTCTAATGATTAAGTCCCCTACATTAGCTGGCAAAAGAACCCTAAAAACCCGTACTGGTTTTGGTGCTTAAGGGTTTAGGTGGGGTTTAGGGCCTATAGAAAGGGTACAGAATGCGTGAGCCAAACAGTCATTACCCCTCTGCAGTCCTCCTGTTTCAATGTGGAATGTGTTTTTCTCTGAGCCTTGTTTACTCGAGGTAGTACTTCGCATTCAGGGTTTCGGGATTTAGGGTTCGAGTTTAGAGTCTTATGATGTTTGTTGGGCTTTTGGCCTGTCGAGTTTGATCGGTGTCGGTCTGAAGTTCCGGGATTTTTGCGAGCCCCAACCCCGAGACTGACCCCTCGAAGAGTAAAGGCCACAGCCCTGCTCGTGACCCTACACCCCTAAACGGGCCCCTAAACCATAACACTGCCAGACTTCGAAAACCCCTAAGCCACAGGGACACCGCCCGACTTTAGAGAGAGAGAGAGAGAAAGAGAGAGAGAGAGAGAGAGAGCGAGAGAGAGAGAGGGAGAGAGGGAGAGAGGACGCGAGAGTTTAAGCCCGAAGCACTAAGCTCTGGCCCTAGAGTGTTCGGTTACGGCGCCAGATCCCACCCGAAGCCCTGCCGCGATCGAGAATCACAACCTTGAGCACGAAGCCCCCAAATTTCAACTCCACATCCAAAGTCCCATCCAAACGACGCTTTCAGAAACCTTCGGCCCTTGACCCTAAACACGTTTATATAGAGGCCTTAGAGTAGGGTTCTGGGGCCCTTTATAGCATATTTATAAGGAGGAATCCCTCACAAAATAGTATAGGTAATTATACAGGCCCCTACATTACCCCCCAAGCCCTCGGCCAGGACTTCCAAACCCTAAAGGAGGCTTGTCGGGAGACGGCCCGAGAATACCCTCACAGTGTGCGACGAAATCACCAAGCTCAGTACAGTTCGCGAGGTCGCGGGGCTCAAGGGGCATCTAAGAGCGTCTGCCACGGTTTCTGCTCAGGGCTCGTAGTATATCTCCCAACAAAAACGCGAATCTTCTAGTGGTTTAAGGTTGCTGCTTCTTGTCTAGGCATGGATTTGGGGAACAGTGCTATTCCATGTTGCTTTATATTTTGCTTGACGTAGTTGACGAACTATCAACTGCTAGTGCGACCAATACTCGAGAGTGGGGATGGCTAAAGGAGGTTTGAGGGTGAGTAGTACGAGAATCCGAGTTTTGGGGGTTTGGTCAGACGTTTTATTCATGGGGCGGAGGGTTTCCGTATGTATGTTATATTTAGTTCAGTACTTGTTGGTAGGGCGGCCGCGCAAATCCAGGCAGATGGAGAGGATCATTGCAGGAACAGCTGTCTACACTGAGACGCCTGTCCACGACACTACGCAGCAACGTTGGTTGGTACACTTTCAGAAGTCTCAGCCCCTTTGGACTATGAAGCTGAGTTCGTAGAAGGTCCAATTTTGGTCGTTTTGATGACTTCGATTGCAAATCGAGGTCTGAAATAAACTAAACCTAGACCCTAAACCCTCAACCCCCTAACTTTGGCCCATGAACTAAGATAGAGCAGTTGAAACCCTCTACACCCCGAAGCCTAAGCCACAAAATGCCTTGAACCCCTAAGAAACAAGGGCCAGATGAAGCCCAAGGGAGCTTTTGGCTCGTATCCTATATGCCATATAAGGGGTTTATTGCGCAGCAAGCCGTAAGACATAGAGCCGCATACTTGTTGATCGGTTTTTTTGGTCCAAACCTGAGCCTTACACCCAGAAAGGAGAGAGTGATGCGGGGCTTGAAGCACATCCCGCCAATTGAGCCAACGAGGTCCCAAGAAGCGCCTCTGGCCATTTCGGTGCAAGATGTTGCGGTTTTATTTATTTTTGTTTTTGGTCAACGAGTTCATACAAGTTTTAAGATCTTCGGATACTTCGGGCTTAGAGCCTTTGTCGTTAGGCGTAAGATCATTGATTGAGACTGTGAGCTTATTTCGAAGGAGCCGCCGTCCGACGTGAAGCCGAGACCGCTGGAAGAGAAGAAAGACGATCTGGAAAAGAGGAGGTCCCAGCCATGATCGTGACATATGGCTGAAGCACAGAATCCTGCATTATCGAATCTGAGGACTACCTGCCTCTAGTTCCTATTACCAGTTGTATCAGAGGTTATAGTGATCATGACAATCATCCGGGTACTGAAGCGGTCATGATCTGCTCTGTTGTAGGGTTTCGGGCTAGAGCCCAGAGGGTCCATGTACCAACATAGTAGTTACTTCGTAGGTATTTGGGCCCCAAAAGTATATACTATACTATTACTTGGACCCTTTGGGGAGGTCTTGTGTAGGGCAGAGTCCTGAAGGTAAAGCAGGACCGCGTCCATCAGCAACCGGGGATCTCCCCCGTCCCAGGCCTTAAAAGTGCCTGGTTAGAAGTCCGCTAACCTGGGTTATAATTCTAGTTACCCTACTTATAACCCCACGTATAACCACCCATGAATCTCCAAGTAGGATTCACTGATGGCCTTATGCCATTCCGTTGCAGCCATCCCTGCAGTTTACGAACCATGCGGATTGCTTTAGGGCGCGGGAGCTACTAGCCCAGAAGCTTGAAGCATAACGTTTAAACTGGAACCTGTTGTCTTGCCAGAAGGTCTGTTACTTTTTGTGACTTCTGTTTGTGATACCCGAGTAGGTAGCCGTATTTGTTTTGGGGAAAAGGTAGATGTGCCATCCTGCCAGAACGAATCACAAGGCTGTCTTTGTTGGGGCAATGTAAGTCGGCCACCAGGCTTTGGATATAGGGTTTGGATTTCCCTTTGCAGAGTTCGTGTCCCGGCTTCTTTGAGCAATACGCTTGTAGAAAGTCCTGCTTCCAATTCGCATGCCATTGTACAGAGGTTCGGTCATGAGTGCAGCTGGTGCAAAAAGCTAAGCTGAGTTGTAGGTTTCTTCTTGCAACGAACCCTAGGGTTTAGCACTTAGGGCTTTGTTTGTCCATTTGTGGTTACCGCACTAAACTTGCTATTGCTCTGGCGGCGAGTGTGACTTTCTTCGGATGTGGATTTGAGGGTGTATGCTGCTCGCAGCTGTTAATAAAATCACGGTGCATGTGGAAGCCTGATTGTAGTAGGAGCATGCTTTTTTGGGACTGCTCTAAACCCGAACCATCAACTCGAAGCCCCAAGCGAGAAAAACCCTGGAGCTTGAACCTCCAAACCTTCGACTGCGTGCCAACGGTGTACATGCCTGATCTATATATATTTTTTTTATCAGCTCCAGCGGAAGTCCAAATATCTAGGCCTCTTAATTGCAACTAAGCCTTTGACCGAAGCACTTGAAGGAGTCCGTTATCAGGAACCAACTGAAGAAGGGCTAAACCCCTTGAAAGCTTGGGCTACGTTTCATACGGCCATGATCCTGCTGCTGCAGCGGGTAAGAACTGAAGTAAGTAGTAAGCATGAACAGGAGTCATCCTCTTTACTCAAGGAGGGACATGCGGGTGGGGTGGGCTTTAGGTTTCAAGGGTGCTTGGAGTATTGGGACCCCTTCCTAAGCATGGACACAGCATCCGACATACGGACCCTACTACGGCCAGAAGTAGGGGCATTCAATCTTTACAAGCGGTCCTTGTGGGTTTGCTCGCATTTTTTTGGGACCTAGGGTTTGAATACAAATTTAACGGACTTAACACTGGGTTAATACGTATATTCTTAGGTCGTTTTACTTAGAGGCCTCGTTGGCTAAAGCGCCCTGTGAGTGTTTGAGTGCACGCCCAATCTCATTGTTTCAGCGTCCAAGTTCCGTATTCCTAGTACTATATGACAATATTGATAGTCCGTGTAGTTCACATAATATGTAGGTGCCTGACCAATACGGATAGGGTTCTGCGATATACTATAGTATACCAGATAAGTATTCTGGACCCCATACTATAAGCCCCTGTCGTGCCAGTTATAATAGCCCTCACTTGTAGCAAGCCCTTATGGTACGCCTCTATAGTAACCCGCTTGAAGTTGCTACATTACGAAACCCTCTGTGGCGGGAGCCCAGGATGCGCGTGGACGAGCTGATCCAAATCGCTGAACGGAAGTTCCGCGCGCAGTGGCGCGGATGCAGAGTTCCGATATGGGGCTTGACGGTTTGGTTTAGGAGTTCGGGCTTGTCTTTGCAAGTTGGAGCTTCGTGATCTGGGATTGAGGGCGAATCTCTGTCAGGAATGGAACGAGCCCAAGACATTCAATCGTCCCTTTGTATGGCTTACGGATCCTGTTTTGGAAAGTTAGAAAACCTTGATAAAGAAAAGCTCTGACCCGAATCCCAAAAAATCCGTGAATGCCCAAGACGTTTAAACCCTGAAACTCGAAAACCCGAAACCCTAAACCCTAAACCCTTAAACCCTTAAACCCTGAAGCCTTAAGCTTAACCCTAAACTCTAAAACCCTAAAGCCCCAAAGCCTCTCTCGCCAAGGAAAGCCCTAGACAGCGAGAGCTGCCTCCGTTGGCTCCTGAACGCAGCCGGAGACACGCTGAACGAAGCGACGAAGGCTTCGGGATGTAAGGACTCAGGGCTGTAATATAGGGGCCTTGATAATCAGAAAAGGGTTTATTGGGGCCCATTATACTATATTTTTAGAATATGGAACCCCATAATGCCCTAAACCCTAATGTAGGGGCTTAAATAATTACCAATGCTTTTTTGCGGGGTTCCTTCTTATAACTATGGCCCCGAAACCCTATTCTAATTGTTAAGCCCCTATATTAAGGTCTGTAGCAGGGTTTACAGCGTCTTTATAGGGTAGATGTACAAAGTGTAGGGGCTTAGACGTATAGTGCCACAAAGGGCCTAAGGTTAAGGGGTTAAAGGGTTTAGGGTTCCGGGGGGTGGGACTTCGGAGCTTTTTCTAAGCATATTAGATCATCCTTCAGACATCATCCATCATTTTGTGGGTTCAGCCAGCATTCAGTTTCCCGGACAGTATAGGAGCAGCGTTGGGCGTCATGAATGCAGATTTTCCCCTAAGACAAAAAGCTCATCCTTGCGAGCTGATAGGTTTTATGCTTTCGAGGTGTATGGGGGTGTTACAGGTGCTAATCTTTGATATGGGCTCAGGTGGTAGCGCAGTTACCCGCCGTCAGCATGTTCCTCTTGCTCACGAGATTAACAGTAACAGTCAGACCCGCCCATCAAAGTATAATCGTTCGTCCAAGAATCCAGGATGGTCAAGGTCCCTCAGACGAAACGACTCCAGTAACAAAAGCCCTTGCCAGAAATACGTGAGGTATCTTCTCCCATACGATGTTATACACTTGTTTGCCGGCCCCTGTATTCAAGATCTCTCAAGGAGTTGGGGTATTGAGTGTTTGTGCGTTTTGGTTGGGTGGTTAGAAAGGGGTGACTGTGCAGACTGTGCAGGTCCAAAGTAGCCAATCACTGGTTTTGCTCCTGCCATGTCACACCACTGTGGCTCCTAACATACTTCGCCTTTTCCTAGAGGTCTTGAGCTTGCTTGAATCTGGGAAGTATACTGTTGGGGTCTAACGGTTGTGGGCAAGAAACAACTTACAGCAGCAACGTAGTACGAGCGCACCGAAGCCGAAGAAACACGACGATGCGCTTTACGCCCTAGACAACCTTCAAACCCCGATATTTCACACCCCAAAATGGGAAGCCGTCTTCGATAGTTTGAACCTTCCAAGAGCCAACACGCAAACCGAAACACCGAATCCCCAAATTCAAAGACACGCACCGTATTATGGAGGCCTAAGCATGTTGCTACTACAGTTAGCTATTGCAAGAAGTCATAAGGAAAGCTAATAAAGAACTAAACATTCAGACCCCCTATCCTGATCGTTAAGGCCAAGGCAGATCACAAGTCCGGTAAAACTCCAAACCCTTCTAATTTCTAAGGAAACACCCGAACACCCAAACCCATAAGCCCTCAAACTGATGCAGCAACACCAAGCCGGTATGGCAGTCGAATAAATACAGTATCGCGTTCTAGTACCAATCATGATGTTCATAAACAAATAAATATATATATATATATATACCCAGAAAAACTCCAATGAATCATCAGGGCTCCAAAGTGAATTAAGCCCAAAAGAGGAGACCGCCGAAACCTCTAAAGCTCGTTCTTAACTAAACCTAGGCTCAGGGCTCGGCAGGCATCCTTGAAGCTTCTTGCGTGTAGGGCAGGGTTTCAGGTTCTGCAATCCTGGGCCAATCACACAGGTTCAATCATGTATTGGCCTATGAAACGACAGTTGAGCCGTAAGCTTCGAAGAGAGAGATCGGAATAATTAATGAGTTAAAATTACGTATGAGTAGTCATAGCATTTACTTATCGTCCTGACAGATTTATAGCATAGTATAAACCCCCCGCTCGAAAAACCACAATCTGAAGATCAAGCCCCCCTTTTTTAGCACCGAAGCCCCAAAGCCCGAACCCCGAGTCTGAAACCCTACAGTTACAGGCTCAGTCGCCCGGTACAGCCCTCATGCCCGCCTCATGTTTTTGTGTTTCCCTCTGAAATCCGGGTCCGGGTGGTAAGAAAGAAGGTCGGGGATGCCGGCCTCGAGAACGAGGAGATCTTGTTCCCTGGCAGTTCATCAGGATGTGGATACACGGTTTAGGCTTCTGAGGTGATTGCTCAGGGTTTCATAAATATTGTTTCGGGGTATCGGGTATCAGGACCGCAGCTAGGGCACCTCTACTTAGCCCTTACTTGGGGGTATTTACGGTTCAGTGGAAAGCTTTGATGGTTCGTGGTTCTGGTAATCTTAAGCATGGCATGGCTCTGAAAGGTGTCGGCGGTATGTCTTACACCATAAACCACATATGGGAGATAACGGATGCGGACCATAACATATGTTGTTCACTGTGGTGTGGTCCTCGAGGACATCGATCGAAACATACGAACTATCCTAAACCCTATATGTGATACGAACGAGAAGCTCCTTTGTGAACTTTCATGTGTTTAATTTAGGACGTATTATCAGGAAGGAACTATCTTGATCTCTGAAACCTTAAGCCGCCTGACCAGGCAGCAGGTGAGAGGAGCTGCCAATGTATCTAGTGGAGTCTGTCTTCGTTTACAAACCAACTCTTAGCAACTCCTCATGTGATGTCTCCTGAAGCCTACATACTCTCTTAACAGAGTGCCTTAAGCAGAACTCTCTCGCCTTCGCATGAGGACGGGTCTGACAAAGGTCAGACAGAATGTGGTGGCCTCGCAGGAGGAGTTTGCCTTGGTTCAGGAAGATGGATCCGTCAGGACGTTCCGGTTATTGGAGTTTTCTTTTGTGTGAGTGTCAAGGTTGCGGTGTTTGAGAGGGTGTAGGGTTTTGAGTTGCGTTCCTTCATTCATGTCTTGGTTTGGGGGACAAGGATGTCAGTTTAGGAGTGGTGTTGGTTACACTGCTGGTGTATAGTATACATACACAGTTCGTTTGCGTGCATATATATATATATATATATGTGTAGATATATGCAGAGAAAGAGGCATATCCTTATGTGTATACATGAATAGATATGAATGTATGTATATGTGTATGTAAGGCACGGAGAGAAAGACAGAGAGAGAGAGAGTAATTGCAGGCTTAATACTTGTGCACCCTATATAGTCGTTCTCAAGAATAGTTCGCCAGTTCGCGATCTTCAAGCGTCCTGAGTTTTAAGTCATCACTTGTCAGAGTATTGAAGAGAGAGAGCGCGCGAGAGAGAAAACATCCCTATGAATCCCATAACTCCTGCTACCCTAAATAGCCAACTAAACCTAAACCCAGAGCACTTCGAGCAAACAGAGGGCTCCTAAACCCGCCAAAGAACATTTTGAAAACCTTGAACCCTTCCAGCCTTTGAAGTTTTGTACAGACAGGACATGGGGCCAGCCGCACTACTTCTTCAGCGATCTCACCCCTATGAAGTTGAAGAATGTGCAACAGCGCCTGGTCCTACTTCAGAGGGTGAAACGGCTTTAGTAAATTTCTGTAGGTTTCCACATGAGTTTCATCGTTTTTTCACGGTTTACATAGACCCAGCAGTGCCGTGTCTGAGTTCAGGTTGTTTTGAGCTTCCTTATTCTAGGATTTACAGCGTTCTACAACATGTTATTGCAGGACATTGCAAGGTTGCAGGGTTGCAGCAGTACCACTTCAGAATTGTATGTAGAGATTTGTTGGGGGCATGTGACACGCCGCATCTCATGTTTTGTCAGGAGGTTGACAAAGGCCTGTATGGGCGCTTTATTGAGAGGTCTGACGAACTAGTAATGATAGTCCCGATAGTGTACCATAAAAAATATCATACATACCCCAAGACCGTGTTCTAGCCATTGAAAGCCTTTTGTCACGACCTTTTTACCACACTCGATGCAAAATGCAGCTTTTATAACGCAGCCGTCAAGAGATGCTTGAGACCGACGGCCAGAGATCACGATCACCCGCGAGTGAGCCTTGTTCATGCCGACTTGCATGCCGGTCCGGGCATGACATAAAGATGTTCCGACTAGGCTTTCGCTTAGAGTTTGGCGGTTCCGATTTGGATCCCACTTGCTTAGGGTTCCGTTCGGGGTTCCGATCAGGGTTCCACCTGGGGTTCCGACTAGGTTGCGGCTTGGCGTTCCGTTCAATGTCTGCGCAGACTTGATGCCTGAAGTCCAAACCCTAAACCCCAACCTCGTCCCCACGCGCCTAACTCCTGAGCCTTTCTCCGAAACCGCCCATGGCGGCCGGAGAAGGGAAATTCTGAAAATTCTCTTCAATAGAACCCTTCAAGACAAGCTTTATCCTGAGCCCCTGCCCAACAACCCTGATTGATAGATTCTTGGCTGCTACACTCCCATTCCTCTTACCCTAAGCCCTTCAACACTTCGCACGAAACTTAGACCATCAAGGCAACCCCACCTGGAAACCACAAAGGAAATCCAGAGACGGAACAGAGCCTGAAGCCTTAAAGGAAAAGCCGGAACTTGGTGCGCTATAGTTTTGGGGATATTCGTTCTAAGTTCCGGTAGGGGTGCTTTCTACTCATAAGTATTCTTGTCACTACCCAGGATCCTTCATCAAACACTCCAGGCCTTAAAAAATCCCAAACTCTGCACAGAACGCTGGGGCCGAACAGGAAAAACCCGATGTGATAAATACCACCCCAATAAAGATGCCCTTAGACACCGTTGTTCACCCCGGAAGAGACCCCGGCTCAAAAAAAACAACATTCTAAACCCCAAACCTTTTCAAAGCCCCCCTTAATTGAAGAGCGAAGCTTTAAGTAATATTGGGGCCTAACTAATTGCCAATTTGCAACACTCTGTTTTGGGGGTTCCTTTTGATGATTTTAATATAACCCTAGTATAGCTATAATCAAAAAATGGTAGACTTATCGTGGAGTAAAAGTAGAATATAGCTTAGAAAACTTATAGGAAGATGATAGCAAACAACACCCGCCAAAGCCCTGTTCAAGCTGTTTACGCTTCTACATCAAAGCTCCGAGGATAGCGGCTTCCAAATCGGCCTTCGCAGCCCTCTTAGCTGATGGCTCGGTGGTGACTTCTCTCAGGTGTAAAACTCGTTGTTCTTTTTGGGGCTTGGGCTTTGTGATGTTATTGGTCTTTATAGGTGTCATTGGATTTTCTGTTGGGGTCTGCATAGCGGTTCAGGGTTGACGGGGAAGCTGAAAGTTGGTTGAGAGATTGCGGCTGCGGATTTACGGCTTCGGGCAAGACGTTTTCGGGTGTGAGAATGCTAAAAACCGGTCTAGTTTAGGGTTTAGGGTTTAGGGTGGTCAAGGCTTCATGCTTGAATCGTGTTTCCGCTGGTGACGAACTGATCTTGGAGCGCATTGATGCCTTAAGCATATCCATGGAAGTGGCAGCATTCGTGGCAATGAAGAACTCCTCGGCCCGCAAGGACGAGGTTGAGAGCTTTAGTCGCATTTCTGCGCGCAGACAAGTCGAGTCTCAACGTCTTTCATCGGGGTGCTAAGCGCACGACAGTTGTGCAGGCCACGATATCATGATGATGCTACGCTGTCACTGCCCCGATATGACTAGAAGTAATGTAGCTACCCGCCGATGCAATCACTGAAGTGTTGTTGCTGTTAAATAGGGCGAAGGACGGTAAGATCCAGGGTTCAGGGCTTGCGTTTTTGAGGGCTCCGGCGAGTTGTTGGTCAAGAATCTGCACCAGGTATCCCTGACCCGGAAGCACCCCAGTTAACGCAGAATACCCGAAAAGCCTGAACCTCCATACTACAGAATGGGATCCTTTACGGGTCATCTGGTTGAAATACGTCGGTTTTTTGGGATATGATTTGGGGTGGGGTCTTACATGATACTTGAACTAGACGCCGAAGCCTTACATCATAGCATTGATATTCATCTAGGCACCAGAAGCGGTCCCAAGGTGACCTGGGGAAGCCCCGATCGCGGCGGTGACAGCGCCGCTGTTCAAGATCAGCTTCAGGAGATCGAGGAGCTCCAGGCAGGGCTCTGGGTGCCCCCTGAAGCGTTTTTTGGAATCATCGACGAAAGATTGTGTATGTGTATAGGACTTCAAGAAGATCCCGATTAGCTTCTCGGCTTTAGCTGGGCGTCTTTGAGCACATTCAAGAAGATCCTAGTTAAAGTTCTTGCATGGGCCCTTACTTTTACGGAGGTTGTAGGATTTAAAGGCTCAGCGTGTCGAGTTTTTGGCGGGTTTGGGGGGGCTTGCGAATACCAGGCAGAGCTTCCCACTTCCTTTACTTGATCTGACCTTAAGGGCACAATGATCCGGTACCTGGGTTCAGGATAATGGTCCTTTGTGTTACTGCTCCGTTTTGCGGGTGTATATGATGTTTCGGCACTTGCACTTTTAGGGTTAGGGATCCGGTCTTGTGGCGTGCGGTTTGCGGTTGAGAGACCAGGAAGGCTCAGTCTTCGGAGCTGCAGAGACCACGGAGTATTCGTCGGACATGAGTCCGGACTCGGAAGGCCTGGTATGTCTCCTGAAAGCTTGAGAGAGCCTCCGTAGGGCCCAAAAGTTTGAAAGCACGAACCCTAAACCCTAAACCCTAAACCCTAAACCCTAAACCCTAAACCCTGAACCCTAAACCCTAAACCCTAAACCGTAAACCCCAAAGCCCTGAGGCTCGAAACTCTCTTTTCTCAACCTTGGACGTATGGAAAGTCCCTCAACACCAGACGCTTACGGAAGCTTTCGCGCCGTCACCTACGTGGTTCGACTAGGGTCCGGGGGTTTGCTTCCGACTGAGTTGTATATAAGTGCAGTTTCACTAAACCTTAAGCCCTACACCAATAAAATCTGAAGCTTTGCGGCTTAGGGTTGGTTCGGGGATTTCGGGTTCGGGATTCGAAGCCCCCAGGCGAACAAATGGGCCTTTGCCGCCCGCCGCAGCGACAAAACCGTGGTGACGTGGGGAGATCCGGAAAGGGGAGGACTCACCTCCCTAACCCCGAACCCTTAACCTTAAACCCTAAACCCTAAACCCTAAACCCTAAACCCTTAACCCTAACCCCTACACCCTGAACCCTAAACCCTAGATCTCCAGGCATCAGGGCCTGGTGTTTAGGGTTTCGAGCTCAGGCTTGTGGTGTGGGCTTGGTGTTTTGGTGGCTATAGAAGGCCTTAGGATGCAAAATGAAGGCTTTGTTATGCCCAGGAGCTGAGTCCCAAGTATGACCCCACCACCCACTGTACCTTAGTGGCTGAGTAGGTAACCTTTAACCTTTTGGGGCTCTTATAATCCTACTATAATTCAAAAGGTTAACCTTTTTTGGGCTAGGGTACTCAGCCCCTAAGGTACTGTTTAACTTAGGATAGCTGGAAAGAGGGTACCCTACAACGTACGTGTTTTTTTGTGTGCTTGCGGCGTCGGGATTTGGGGGTGGGCTCTGCCTGCCGTCTTAGGTTTCAAAGTTGATAGATAGGAGGTGTGGCGTGAGACGACTTCTTGTTTTGTGCAATTGGGTTTGGAAGATCCATGATCCAGGGTAGTCGTGGACGGCGTGCTCGACATCCTTCCTATCTGCAGCCCCTCTTGAGCAGATCAGAGCCTGCCGCTGCCTGGCAGCTTGTGAGCCGCAACGCATGCTGAAGCAGAAGTGCGCGGCCCCTTCCACCAGAACGCCCTTAAAGAGGAACTGCGAAGGGATGCCACTGAAACGATAGGCAGGTGGCTCCTAAGACCGGGTTGGTGGTGGGTGGAGCAGCGCAGGGACGCGGTCTCTGATCGCATCTCGTCCGTTGTGTCTCAACAGATCGCGAGTGACGGAGTCGCGCATCCAGGGTAGTCTGCTGGTCATGTGCCCCTCGCCACTTCGAATCGTTCCGAACTCTTTCCGCTGCCAACCTCAATTCTCTTGTCTGATTAGCCAGGCCGGTTCACAAAGCCGCACGCCCTGCAAAACCCTGTACAACTTGTCAAACAAACTTATACCCCTACAATCCCTACAAAACCTTCTAAGACTTTAGGACCCTTTACATCGCTTTGTTGTCTTTAGCGACCTGCCCGAAAGGAGACATCCGAGCTGTGAGTAGCCAGCTGACAGACGTGCAAGAGCACCTTGGCTGGCTGGCCCCAGGATTTCATACAGGGGCCGGGGCTTCGGGTGTCATAGCATGGTGGCTTAAGGTTTCATGCAGGGAGGTTTGATGCAGAATTCTAGTAAGATGGTGAGTGAGGGTTTGATGACCCGGGGCTACAGAATTCTTTGGGCAGTCACTAAACATTAATGATGCTATGGGTGTTTCAGAGGTCGAGACTTCCTAATATTGAGGTACTTGGGTTCAGGAAGTAGCAGCGTAGCTTGTTGGTATGGGGGAAGTATGGTAGTACGAATCAATTGCTTGGGGTTGCAGGACAGCTTCTCCATGTTTTAAGCAATGGCCTCATGCTAGGGTATGGAGTCTCAGGACTCTTAGCCATAAAACCCAAACTGTTCATATCCCTTGCCCTGAGCCCCATGTGCACGCCCGAGAACATGAAAGGCATGACGGCTGACCTCAAACGATATACCTAAACCAAGAAGGAAAGAGCAAATACCCTGAATCAGCGAGCCCCGCAGCGTAAGTCAGTCTGACACCCTGCACCCGAAACCCTAGCGCCTACACCTGAACTACTGCTAGGCGCCCTTTCCATCACAACCTTGAATACGTCTAGAATTGGAACAAAGGCAGCCTTGTTTTTGCGGGGTTACTGTCGAACCCAGGCGTATTACCATGCACAGACACTATGAAGCCTTATAAAGTCTATACACGGCCAGAAGATTATGTAGGAGCTGCCAGGAGCAGGGCGGCTGGGTCGAAGTCTGCAGTAAAACACTCGAACAAACTCTGAAAATCCTTTTCACGGCCCCTGAGAAGGAACCCCTCAGGTCCCCCACCAGACCTGCTCAGGATCAGGGGTTAGGGGTTTAGGATTTAGGGTTTTAGGGTTTAGGGTTTAGGGTTTAGGATTTAGGGTTTTAGGGTTTGACCTGCTGAGGATCCACTCCACACGCGTGGCGTTTGCTGCCCTCCGACTTGACGGAACGGTGGTTGCACCTTGGTGCTGTTCTGTTAAAGGTCGCATACGGGAAATGTATGGCTCCGTAGGGTTTACCGGGGCTTTAGAAGGTTTAGGGTCTTTTTTGTGAAAGGTAGAGTTCAGGGCGGCGCTTTAGGCTTCAGGGTGTTCAGTTGCTTTGCGTCACCGCTCCATAAGGAAAATATGAGATTACAATCTGGATGATAGCGGTCCTCTTTCTGAATCCGGAAAGAGCATCATTTAGGGTGACATCTAAGTTGGACCTGACTCTAGTGATAAGACTTCATGGGTTTAGGAGTCTTGAGGCACACCCCATCATCCACCAAGGCCCCTGAACTCTAACCCCCCGACCCCTGCAAAACTCCTAAACTGCACTCCCTGAAACCCTATGAAACCCAATGAAACCTGAACCCTGAACCCTAAACCCTAAACCCTAAACCCGAAACCCTAAACCCTAAACCCTAAACCCTAAACCCTAAACCCTACGAGGCCTGGGGAGACCCGGAGAGAGGCGGCCGAGTCGCTCCGGCCGTCCTGGCGAATTTACTAGAAACTTTTGTTCAGGGGGTTTAGGGTTTCATAGGGTTTAGGGTTTAGGGTTCAGGGTTTAGGGTTTCATACGGTTTAGGGTTTAGGGTTTAGGGTTCAGGTTTAGGTTTAGGTTTAGGTTTACGGCGTACTGTATACGGTTTTATGGGGGCTTGACAGGGTTTGATAGAGGGCTCAGTAAGGTTCTTGAAGGAGGACTTATTGTCTCAGTAGGTTTTTCAGAGGCTTTCAGTCTTAAGCCAAAGAAGTGTCTGCAACGCTTTATCAGGGTTTTGTGGGATTCTATGAGGGTTTCACAAGATTCCTATAATATTATCCCTTCGAGTTCATGATGGTTTCCGTTGGGTCCTTCCTATAAGGATCTTACCCCAGTGGCTCCTGTCACTGGGGTCACTGGGGTTTAGGGGTTGGGGGGTTGTGGAATCAGTGCTGTGGGTCGAGGGTTTCCCTGCGATTTATGCAGCTTTTGCTGAGTTTTGTGATTGTCACAGAGCGAAGTGGCCCCTTGGAATGAAAAGAGCATACGTATGGCCCGGACAAGAAGTACTCCCACAGCCCTTTGCCGGCTATGCGAGCTCAGCGACTCATTGAGACATCCTAGCATAACTTCGGGAAAACGATTCGGCATCGCTTGCTGGCTAGGTGTGGTAGGGTTCGAAGCATTCACGGCCTTGTCAACCCAGTAGCCTGGATCCTGAACTCTCCCGAGACCCCCAGCCCCAAAACCGGCAAACACAAAAGACAACACACATAACACATAAGGCCTTAATAATTAGAATAGGGTTTGGAGGTATAATACTTTTAATAAGGAGCCCCCAGAACCCCATTCTCATTGTTTAAAAGTTTAAGGCCCCTACACGTACACCCAAAGGAAGACCACCCCAAAAAACACAAGTATCAGGGTCTCCGGGCCGTGCTGAAGCTCGAGGTCGGCACAGTAAAGGTTTAGGGTTTAGGGTTTAGGGCGGTGATGGTTCTTTCAGAGTTTCAGGTTTGGGTTTGGGGCTTTGAGATTGCATCAGGTTTGGGACTGTGGGGTCCTTCGAGGGTTTCTGCTTCGAGAGTGGACAGTCTCGGGTCCCGGGTTCGTGGGTTTCGGGCGTTATGTAAGGTTTTATGTTTGGGGGTTTGGGGGCTTGTTTAGGACCGTATTGTTCGGGGGATTTTGGTGGCACTTCGAGTTTTTGTAGGGGTCTAGTAACTAGTAGGGTTTCAGTTTCGGCAGCTGTGGATTTCCTCAAAGGGTTTGTGGGAGATTCGCTTAAGGGAGTTGCTTTTTGGGGTGCCGGGGTCGGAAACCGGGCTTTGAGATGCTAACCACAAGTTAGCAGAAGATTCAGAAGACAGTAAGCAGTTTTGCACCTGACTCTTCGAGGACCAGAGCATGAAGGTCGGGTTGCGAGTGCGATTTCACTACGGTCTAGACCCCCCACGGCCTGCATCCTACGCCTTGTGCCAAACCCGAAGACCCATGTCGACACCTTGTGCTAAACACCCGGTTTAGGGTTTCGGGTTAAGGTTTAGGGTATCTCCTGCAGCCCGAGCCTTAAGAAACCCCAAGCCAAACCATGTACCCTAAAGCCCAAACTGTCGGATATCTTACAGAGGCCACAGACTATGCTCTGGCAGCCCTCCTCACGGACGGGTCGGTAGTCTGCTGGGGTCATCCCGACCATGGTGGCGACAGCTGTGCTGCCACTCGCCAGGGTGCAGGGTGTAAAGTTAAAGTTTTAGGGTTAAAGCTGCAGAGGCTTTGCAACGGTAACCGGGTTCTAGCTAGAAAAGCATCGGTGTTTGTGTCGCTGGCTGTGGCGCTAGGAGTAGATGGGAGGCGGAACAGCAGAAGCAGCAGCAACAGCAGCAGCAGCAGCGGCGGGAGTAGTAGTAGTAGTCGTCGTCGTCGTCATGGTGGTGGTGGTCGTATATAGTAGTAGTTGCAGTAGCAGTAGCAGTAGCCGCAGCAGTAGCTGTAGCAGTAGCAGTAATTCGCAGTAGCGGTAGAGGTGGCAGTAGCAGCAGCAGTAGTAGTCGTCGTGGTCGTGGTTGTCGTTGTCGTTGTCGTGTAGAGCGGTAACGGTAGTAGTGAGAACAGGCATGGAAGCAATGGGCTTTGGAACGGAAGAGGTGGCCGTGGTCACTCGTGGCTGTCGTATCGGCACTGGCACGAGCCCAGAATTTCAGCGACACCAAGCACATTACGTTAGCAAGTCAAACTCCAACTCCCATAGTTTCCTCTTCCTTTTCGAGGCTGGCTAGGAATGTTGTCTTGCCCATAGGCAGTATTGTGGTCTCCATGTTAGTGTTGTTGGCTCTGTTCGCATCAGCCGCGCTGACGCTAATTAAGGTTTTGGGTGCGGCATGAAGGCGTCGAGCGTTCTAACCTTTCGATTTTGTATATGTACTTTGTACTCCTCCTGGCTAACCTTGAGAGAGTGCCCCAACCCCCTTCAGTTTGAGGTTCAGGAGCCTTGTATGCAGGTCGCCCGGTCACCCCAATTCCGACCAATGGAAGCGGTAAGCCGAACAAGTCTGGAGAGGTTTCTTCCCGAAAGACACAACTCCAGACAATAAAGGCTCTAAAAGGGCTTGGCAGTGGCCTCAAGCAGCAGATCCACAAGTAAACCTTTCGACCCTGAGCCCCGAACCCTAAAACCCCCAACTCCAAAGCCCTCAGACTCTAAGGCCCTACAACACCTTGGAACCCCAAAGCCCTGAACACTACGCCCTGAACCAGTAGGTGGGTAGTCCTCTAAACTAGGCTCCTTTGAGATCCCAAATTTAGTACGGCACCCTTATTAGAAGAGCCCTAAAAGGGACCCTAAATTAGAGAAGAGGGTTTTTAAAAAAGAGGGTTTTAAAAAACCCTCTTTTAGTAGAAGAGCCCTAAAAGGGACCCTAAATTAGAGACTTATTCAGGTTCAGGATCAGCTGACAGACGTGAAGCTGATCCGAGCCTCCCAGTCGGCTTTTGCAGCTTTGCGAGGTCGGAGACTCGGGGATTTGTGTGGGCCAGCATTTTTGGGTTTTAGGGTTTCGGGGGTTTCGGGTTTTCGGGTTTAAGGTGGACCAGCATTATGCGATTTCTACACCATGAAGGTTCTAGAAAGGTGTTGTTTGTGGTTTTAGTGTCCAGTAGTACCCTTTGTCCTTGACTTCAAATCAAGTTGTGGATACCCGGCTACACTAATTCTTGAGGTAGTGCTTGGAAACCTATAGGAGTCGTGTAGTATCATTTTAAGATTCATAGACAGCCACAGATAGGAATTCATCGAATGATTGATGTTTCACATCTTGTTTGTTTATGGCCTCATCAAGAATCATCATCAGCTTATCGCCTCCCTGAGTCCGAGCCTTTCGATGATTTTGCAATGGTCCGCTAATGGCTACCCGAAACCTTTTCTAACCCCGTAGTACTTTCCTGCGAGACCTCCCAAGCAACAACGGGCCTGGGGGGTTGTTCCCGGAACCTCTCCCCGAGCCCACAAAGTCCCAGATGGATGATTTTGGTGATGGTTTCCTGAGACATCCCAAGAACCTGCCTCTCCGGCTTTTCCCGAACCTCTTTCAGTGCCCGTCCCGGGCCGCAATTCGATGACTTTCGTTTGCAGACTTTTTGGAAGCCTGGTGAGAAGGACGATGAACAAATGATGATTTCGCTTTGACAAGAGTGAGGGTTGTTGACAAGCTAAATCGTACAGGCTATGCCAGTCTGTCCACGCATCAATCTTATTTAATGCTATAAGAGCTGATGGGGGTAACTTGTTCGTTTTGCAACACACCTACTTGGTACAGGTGATTGTCGGCTTTAGGATTCGAGGGTTTGCTTGGGGGTTTGTGGCTTAAGGCTGTTGTGTACCAGAGAATTGCAGACCGAGCCCATGTCCCACAAGGTTTTACGAAGCCATGCAACAAGTCGTTGGGCGCTACAACTTGGTACACCGAAAGTAATCAATCCTCGCCACCCCTGCTGTCGAATTCAAGTCTCGTCGTACGTTCTCTCAACTACGCATGCCCAGAAAAGGTCCCCAGAATCTCCCAAACATGACTGGGCTTCAATACATCCAAAATCCCACAGCCCTAAACCCCGAACTCAATACCACCGAAGATCCTTATACTCTCAAGTAAGATCTTAAGCTCCCAAAATCGGTAAGCAGAAGATTCACAACTTCCAGCAGCCCGACAGCAGCAGGCAATGGCACGGTGGTTTGTTGGGGCGACGTGGCTGTGGGTGGGAGCTGCAAAGATGTTCAGTCCAGCCTGAGGACCCTCGACGATCTTTTGTTCGTGTTTACGGGTTGGTGGGTTTTTGGTCAGGGTGTTCTAGGATGAACGCCTTCCTTTTGGGCTTGATCTTATTCGCTTCATGTTTTTTTAGGACTCCGTTTTGCATAGCCAAAACTCCATAAGGCCGAAATCGATAAGAACCGCAAAACCCTTAGCCGTAGACCCGAAAAGCCAGAACTTCTGGAACCCGAACCCTTGAAACCTAGCGTCACCCACGAGGAATGTGGAGGAGCTTCACGCGACTCAGGGGGCTTTCGCAGCGCTCAGATCGGACGGCCGCCTGCCTCCAGATACTGGTGCCTAGGATGTTTTTTTTTTTTTCCTGGGTTTGAGGTTGTTTGTCTCGAAGTACCCCTATGCCCTTTAAGGGTTGAGATCTCCTTCTAAGCAAAGAATAAGAGGAAATGCAGGTACTGTCATGTAGGTGGCGCTTGAAGGATCATGGGCCTGAGTAAGTCGCTAGGTTTAGAATTGTGATAGGGTTTAGTGTACATGTGTATATATGTATGTGTATATATATATATGCATATACATATGTATTTGTGTATATACATATATGTTATATATATATATATATACATATATATATATATATAAAGATATATCAGTATATCAGTAGCATTATATCAACATCTGTATCTAAATCCACATCATATCAACATCTATGTCTGTATCTGTATCTGTATCTACAACTATATCTGACCTATATCTATCCATATGTATATATACATATATAAACATATACATATGCATATATACATATATANNATATATATATATATGTCTTCGAGTTTCTGGTCGCAGTTTAACTTGCCATGTTAAGCTTCTCTAAAGCCTCAGGCACTGAAGTTTCAAGACCCTGAAACCCTTCTAGACCCGTTAAACCTAAACCACAAACCCAACAACAATTGCAGAATCCCAAAGGCACACCAAGCAGGATGTGCATCCGAACGCTCATACACGAACCCTCAGTCTACGCCCGAACACCGACTTTACCCTTCGTTCCTAATCGAACGGGGGACCAGAGAGCGTAACAGCAACTCAGGTGAAAGAGAGTGCGACGAGTACCATACACCACCTTTCAACTGCTTAAAAATCCCTAAAATCCGATATTGCTAATTTTGCCTGCTCGTAAAGTTCTTTATGTCCTTGTAAACCCTACACACAAAATTTGTGTGAACCCGCATGTGCTGCAAGATTGTGAAGGTCAGCGCCCAAAGCCTAGGCCCAAAATCTCATCAAATTCTTGCCGAACCCTATGAAACCCCAACTGCCACCCCCTCCCTCAGAAAAAGGAATCAGCACAAAAACTTGACCCTCAAACCGTGACCAGGATCTGTGGTGACGTGGGGAAGCTCCATTGCAGGCGGCTGCAGCGATGCGGTCCAAGACCGACTGAGGCGCTCCAGAACGCAAAATATGGGGGGGGGGGGGGGGGGCCTTAGAAAATAGTAGAATCAAGTTTTGGGGTAGATTGTAGTTTAGATATAATCAGGAGCCCCAAAATAGCATCGGTGATTATAGGGGGTTTTAAGTTTGTAGGGTGATTGTATATATTAGGCGTTATTGGTCTTCATGGGGGCTTTCTAGGGCTCCGTTTTGTTTTTAAGGCTTCGGGTTTAGACGTTTAGGTTTTAGGCTTAGTGTGCTTCTTTGGAGTTTCTTGACGTTTCCTGCATTCATGTTTTCGTTGGTATGTAAGTGCCGGTTGAGGTTTCCACACAGGCAGTCACAAAGCTGCCACATCAACTGTTACTGCCCTGCCCTGCTGGTAGAGGTCAGAAGATCCTTGGGGACCAAATGGCCCTTAT